TGTTTAATTGTATTTTCTTGGCTGTTTTGGCTTTCCTTGATTTCTTGCATCTTTTGGGTTGTCTTTTCTTGCATTTCTCTGAAGGATTTTTTGATTTCCTTTTTTAGGTTCTCTATCATCTCCATGAAGTTGTTTCTCTTCTGCTTCATCTGTGTTGGGATGTTCTTGTCTTGCTGGTGTAGAGTCCCTAGACTCTGGTGGTGTCATATTGGTTTTCCTGTTGTTGGATGTGTTCTTATATTGTCGTCTTCCCATCTCTTGTTCCAGTGGGTACAGTTGGTGTCACTTCCTTTCCTGGTGTGTATGGGTCCAGTGTTCTCTTCAGGTGTGTGCAATTGACTTTGATACTCTGATTGGTTTCAAGTTGGGTGCAGGTCTGAGGCACTTGCTCTCCAGGTGGGTGAGAGCAGCACTGGTACAGAGATGTCAGCTGACTCTGGATTGGTTGGTCCTCAGGGTTCGAGTCGTCCTGTTGAAGATCCCTGGGCAGGGTTTGCAGGGTGGGCAGATGGAAGTTGGGCCCAAGACAAGGGCTGAAGCAGCTCTCCTCTGCACTCTCTGCACTCTGTGGGGGCTGGAATAGCCCAGCGAACTCAGCAGAGTCAGGATCCCAGGGGCCTCAGGGACTGATTCAGTCAGTCTGCAGATCCCTGGGCAGGATTTGCCAGGGCGGGCAGGTGGAAGTTGAGCTCAAGTTAGGAGCCAAATCAGCTCACCTCTGGACTCTCCGCACTCAGTGGGGGCCGGAATGGCCCAGCGATCTCAGCAGAGACAGGATCCCAGGGTCTTCAGGGACCAATTCAGTCACAGAAGTATTTTTGAAGCTGTTTAACAAACAATTTCATATGGGAGAAAATTCAGACATATCAGGAATGAAAACAATTTTCCATTCTGTTACAAAATTATGTTTTATTATTTGTTCAATTTTCTGAGATTTTATTCTGTTGATTGATCTGCCTATAGTGACCTTCATATGACTTTCCTCAGTTATCATAACCTTGTGCTGCAATGTTAAGCTTACAGTACAAACATATTTATCCCTCCACTATATATTCTTATTATTCTCCATACCTATAGCTTTCTCATCACAAATAAGAGATTCTTATGAAACAAATCAATCACATAGTTCCCATGCCCCCATGACTATTGGTCCTTCTCAGGTGTCTTGAGATTTCTAATTACTCTAGTCAATATTTTAAATATTGTTTTCGAAGAAAGTTATAGTACTTTGGCTAATCACTTGCTTTTATTTACTCTAACCATATACATTTGACTCTTCATTTCAAATTATTAGCAAATGTATCCAGGACCCATACTGAAATTTTCTCAGATTCAAAAAGGACTCTCATTGTCCGTTAGAAATTACAACACATAACACATTGAAAGGTGTATACATAGCCCTTACTTAAGTCATAACACAACCAGTTTTATTATTATGACATAATATTGTTGTATTATTGGATGATCTATAGCATAGGAAATAATTTCTTATGGAGTCTTACAAATGGAATATGAAGGAGAGTGACAGTGACTACAACTATCTAATATCTTATACCAATACTAGCAATTAAACAACTGTTTAAAACACAGTATAACTTTGATATTCTTTTTTGTAACAACACATCTATCAAAAAAGAAAATTCAATCTAGCAAATTTTTAATAATCTATCTGCTCATATTTTACTTTTAGTATTTTTGACATTATGGACTAAAATTAAGATAAGGGGAGAGCAACAAATGTGAACATTTCACAGCTTTCAAGCATGGGACCAAAGCTGGTCATGTCATTTCCTATGTAGAGTATCTGAGACAGTGATTTACTTTGCTCTTGTAGGTTTCAAGTACGCATATCCCTTTATGATACATACTGTCTCTGAGACGTAAAAGACTGGACATCATAGTTCTCACATCATAGACCAGTCTGTATGGTGACCTTATCATTTTATTTGGCAGAATTTATAGGTATAAATAATAGTTTCATTTGTACATTGATTGTATAGCTATTTTAACTTAGCAGGTAGCTCATTTCTTGAAATTGATTTTATTTTTCCTGGAATTATTTTCACATAGCAACAGATCAATTGGAGAAGTGTAAAGCACCAAAGGCAAAGGATAAGGAAGCAATTCAACCCAATAGGAATGAATTTAATCATAATGTCAGTGTGAGTTACAAATGTAGAGGAAAGCAGGAGTATAAACACTCAATCTGCATCAATGGAAGATGGGATCCTGAGCCAACCTGTACAAGTAAGCTCTGGTTTGCACTGTCCTCTAGTGGTTATTCTAGTATTTACTTACCTGTGATAGTAGTAGCCTTGAGCTCTTAAACCGCAGTAAATTTTGTTGAGAATTTCTTATGTGAATTCTGCATTTTTATCATTTCCAACTCTCCCTCTTCCACTTGAACAACTCTGAGTCCCCTGTACTTTCTGTCCAATTCATGGTGTGCGCACGCGCACACACACACACACACACACACACACACACACACACACACACACTATGCATACATTTACATGCATATATATACATACATATATATATATCTTGTGTATATAAATTCATCCTGATGTGTCCATTTATTGTTTTTCCTATAGATATATGATTAGCACTAAGAACTTGAGATTGGATAACCTATTTGTTGGCTCACCCATCCCTGGAAAAGTTTAATTTTCCTACTCTATGTAAACTTAATTTAATATATTTCAGATTATAATTCATTTAAAACATCATAAAGACTAGAATAAATTAAAATAAGTTTTATAGAAACACTGCAAAACTGCTTTAAAAAACAAATGAGAACAATTCAAAGGACAAGAATAATTACTAAACTGCTATATAAGGTGAAAACTATAAAATCTGCATAACTATTATACGGTCATAAGTAATTTGTCATTTAATGATAATCATTACTTCAATAATTTAAGATACTGTATTTAGTCAAGAACTCTGGTTTCTGATGTATTTTTGGGAGCAGACAAAGGATCCTGCCCTCCTCCACCGCAGATTCCAAATGCCCAAGAGATGCAAACCACAGTGAAATACTGGGATGGAGAAAAAGTATCTGTTCTTTGTCAAGACAATTACCTAATACAGAACACAGAAGAAATGGTGTGCAAAAATGGAAGGTGGCAGTCATTGCCACGATGCATTGGTCGGTAGCTATGACTTATTTTACAACATTATTGTTTTAAATACTCTAGAGAACTCAAATGACGGCATATTTAAAAGCTAGGGCTTAAGATATAAACCAAACAGTTTGTTTCTGTTATCCAGTATAAACTTTTTATTTACGCATCACTGTTTCATTTGTGTTCTTCATATAGCAAAAATTCCATGTTCTGAGCCTCCTGAAATAGACCATGGACGAATTTTATTACCACGATCATCAGAAGAAAGGAGAGAAACAGATTTTTCCAGAAGTCATGAACACGGCATTACACTCAACTATGTTTGTGATGATGGTTTTATGATGGCTGAGGATCATGGTGTAACCTGTCACATGGGACAGTGGAGCTCTCCACCTCGTTGTGTCGGTGAGAGAAGCATGAAAATTCAATTCTGGTTTTAGAACAAGTCTTTACCAATAATCTACTCTCATCAAAGCCAGGAGAAAGAATGGTTTAGACTGGCACATATAATCATTTACCACAAGTTTATATTTGCATAAATTGATCTATCCTGCTTTTATTAGTTGGATTGATTGTCTTAAAATCTACTTTTACTCTTACATTTCTGTTTTTTAATATGATGCATAGTCTACTGACTTTACCTGCTCATGGGAGTAGTAGTGTTTCAGTTGTTCATTTGTCACCAAGTGTTAAACTTCTAAGTACACACACCCGGAAATGCTGTTTCTGAGATTCTTATTTCCTTTTTTTTAAAATTTCTTTGTCACTCATGATTTGTCAGACATTTCAGTGTCAAGTTTTATTCAGGGTTGAATCAGCTTAAGATATGCGAGACAAAAGAAATTCTTCTTAGGAAGCACTGTCCACCTCTTCTGTGATGGCACATCTTCCTTGTTAACATTCCTTCCAATACCACTATACATAGAACTGACACATACAAACAAGTTTCTGAATTAGTGCAATGTGGAATCATTTCACTCTGTTCCTCTCATTGTGTTATTTTAAGGACTTCCTTGTGGACCTCCACCTTCAATCCCTCATGGGATTGTGTCTCATGGACTAGACAGTTACCAATATGGAGAAGAGGTGACATACAGCTGTGCTGAAGGATTTGGAGTTTCTGGACAAGCATTTATGAAATGTGTAGGAGGAACTTGGTCCCAGCCACCAGCTTGCATAAGTATAATTTTATTTTCACTCTCTGTGTAATAGATTTTTTAATTCAAGCTACATGTGGCACAAATAAAAAAGTAAGTTGTACTTTTAGCATATCACAAGGTTTTACTGGATACTGACAGACAAACACAGTACTGGTAAAACATAGTTTGATAACTTTGAGCCCAGTTATTCATTTTCACTTCATGTAGTTTGAGCTATCAGCATCCATAGACTTCTAGAAAACACTGGTTCTGTTCAAGAGATTCATCACTACAGTGATGGTTTTAGCAGCAATGCCACTACAACTACATATTCTCTAAAATTTGAAATCATAATTATAATTAATTTATATTTGATGAACCTAAAAAGTAGAAATGTATCATACTTTGATCTGAGAGAAAAATTGAAGCAATATGAAAATGTGTCAAGAATTTTAACCATCAATAGGTTGGTATCTGTAGCCACTATCATTACTATCTTATTTATTTTCATAAATTTGGAATAATTTAATGTAACTAAAACAAATGAGAAACCTGCAGTATTTATTGTCTCTATGAACCTAATTATTACTTTATATATTTTTTATCCCACACTTTCCTGAAAACAAAACCCTATAAATTCTTTTTATTTCAGGAACTGATTGTGACAGTTTACCCAGGTTTGAAAATGCCATACTCATAGAAGAGGAAAAAGATTCATATAGGTCAGGTGAACAAGTGACATTCAAATGTGCACCTTCTTATCAAATGAATGGGTCCAACATTGTGACATGTGTCAATCGCACATGGATTGGAGAGGTAGTATGCAAAGGTAGTTTGATAAACTTTCAACATATACTTATTATAGTTTTAGAGGACTAGCAAAATGTAAAAGTGGGCAAAGGTTTGCTTTTAAAAACATGATGAAATTTGTTTAAGTTCAAAATAAAAGTATAACATTAAAAACCCAATTGCTAAGCATATAGATTGATGGTCTCCGAGTGTGGCTCCATGGCTAACATCATCAGTATCTTTGGGGTGGGTTTATGAAAGTAATTTAACACTGAGGTTCTCATCCTAGAGATCTTATATAGGAAAACATCTAGATATGACAACAAGTTGTCTACAATAACCTTATATGTGCAAACTCAGTTTGACAACCATTTCTTTAGGCTTTAAACATTTTTAAATGCATTGTTAAATAATCACCTTTCAACTGAGTTCTTGTTTATATCTCATCTTCTCTAATTCATTATAATATTAAGTATTTCATTTATTCTTTTCTAGTTCCTTCCATTTATCTGTGAATTTGTGTGTGTGTGTGTGTGTGTGTGTGTGAGAGAGAGAGAGAGAGAGAGAGAGAGAGAGAGAGAGAGAGCAAATTTATCACATATTGTTTATCTATTCATCCGCTGAGGAATTCATTTGGAATCTTATGTGTTGATTGTATACTCAAGAAGAACAGATAGGTACTGATATTTTCTTTTACTCTTTAGATACTTCATGTGGGGAACCACCACATGTGGAAAATGCTACTATACTAACAAGACCCATGGCTAGATATCCATCCAATGAAAGGGTACGGTACGAATGTAATAAACCTTTTGAACTATTTGGTGAAGTAGAAGTGATGTGTCAAAATGGGATTTGGACAGAACCACCAAAATGCAGAGGTAGGCCATCAGATTTCCCAATGCTTATTTGATAATGTAATTTGGTTACTACACATTAGTGAAGATTAATTGAACTCATTCTTAAGAGAAGCATTCTTCTAATTTTTCTTTTTACTTTTAAAATTGAAAACAGACTCTTCTTTCATACAATATGTCCCCATGGAAATTTCCTCTCTCCACTCCTCCCAGCTCCCTCCCTCAACAAATCCACTCTTCTGTACATCCACTTTCTCAGCATTTCCCTTCAGAAAGGAGTCAGCCTTCAAGAGACAACAACCAAGCAATACAAAACAAGATACAATAAGACAAATCAAAATCCCTCATATGGGGCTGCACAGAGTAACTCAATAGGTGGAAAAGAATCACAAAATCAGGCAAAATAGTTATAGACACACCCATCTCCACTGTTGGAATCTTAGAAAAAACAGCAAGCTAAAAGCCATAACATATATGCCGAGCACATGCTGCAATCCCGTACAAGCCCCCTGGTTCCTGCTTCCGTCTGTGAGTCCATGTGAGGTTAGTTGATTCAGTGGGCCATGTTCTCCTGGTGTCCTTCATCCCCTCTCATTCCTACAATCTTTCCTTTCCCCCTTCTGTGGGGTTCCCTAATCTCCAAGGGAGGCATCCATTAGAGGCCTCCAGTGAAGACTTCTCATATTATCTGGCTGTGGGTCTCTGTACCTACTCCCATCTGCTCCAGAAGGAAACTTCTCTGATAATGACTGGACAAGGAACTAGCCAGTCTTTGATTCCTAGCAATTCAGGTAGCATGGGGCAAATGCCCTCTAGATTGGCCAACCATTAAATGATAGGCTCACAACCAAATTGATCAGAAAATGAAAATAGAATGATATTGATAAAGTTTAATTTTTTGGTGAATTTAATGAAGAATTATGGTGGGAGGTTTTCAGCAATGTTTCTATAAGATCTAGGAACAATTGCCACTAAGGAAAAATTCATCACTAAATCTTAAGGCCCTCATTTACTTACTGAATATCAAATATATAAATACATGTATAAGAAGTTTGAGGAGGGATTTTTAAAATATTTACTTTGAAAGGCAAATAAAAACATAGTAGAATATCTCCATATAGTAAAATACAATTTCTTCACCATTAGATTTCTCCATTTATTTTTTAAATATATTATTGATTCTTTGTGGATTTCACATCATACATACTAATCCCACTCATCTCCCTGTCCGATTGCTTCTACCCTCTGCCCTCTGCCCTGACATTCTCATTTCCAAAACAAAATTTAAAAATGAAAACAAAACAAAAACCTATAAAACAAATAGGCCAGGCAGGGGGTGGCACACAACTTTAATCCCAGCACTCAGGAGTCAGAGGCAGGTGGATCTCTGTGAGTTTGAGACCAGCCTGGTCTATAAGACCTAGTTCCAGGCACACACACACACACACACACACACACACACACACACACAACCAAAAAATCCAAAAACAAAAACAAAAAAATAACACCACCAACCAGAAAATTTCAGCATTGACTTTATATGTGATCCAGTGAGTCGCATAGTACACCCTTTGGTCCATACTCATTGTTACAGTGAGTCATTGGTCTGGTTCAAAGTCTCTGACTCTGCACACTGTTGATGCTGGGCCCTCACTAGAACTCCTCTTGGATATCCTGTTTTTTGCCTGTGTCATGAAGATTCTGTAATTTGGATCTATAGGTTCAGCCCCTTCACACACTCCAGAAGCTCATAGGTGAGGTGGATGTTGGGGTGGGCTACTTTGTAGTTCTAGTTCTGGGCCTGTGTGGTAGCTGGGTTGGTCAACCTGCCAGCTTTCCCTCATCATTACCACCAGGGCGAGCTCTCCATCTTTGTCCTGGCTAGCTCACTCAGTGTAGCAGACAGCAAGGAGCAGGGCCAGTTTTCCTGTTTTCACCTGTTAGGGTCTGGCTCACATGCACTCATACCACTCTGTTTTGCCTAAGACAGGTGCAGGTCCCACTATCTTTATTGTTGCAATTGGTGAGGAGCAGGGCCAGCTCTTCTTTTATCATGTCCCTGATCTGGCTCTCTCAACAGTCACAAGTGGCAAGGGATGGGGGGCATATTTTCCTTACCCTTGCCACTCCTTGGCATATGAGAGAGGGTACAGGGCAGTCTTCCCTCTCTCACTCCCACATGCCTAGCTCACCTGTGCCCCCAGCAACAGGGTCAGCTCTAGTATGCTGCCCAGATGAGGTGCTGTTCCGGTCGGTCTTCCTGTGTACTGCACTGGTGAGGGGCTGGATCAGCTCTCCCACTCTTGTGATCTCAAGACCAACTTTTCTCACTTGAAGTAGGTGGTGAGGGTCAAGGGTCAAGGGCCAAGAGGCAAGGGGCAAAGGGAGTATCTCTCCCTTGCCCATGCCACTGTGTGACATACCATTGGGCTAGCTCTCCGAGTCTCTAATCTTCAGGGCCAGCTGACCCACACCCCTGCCAGCAGGAACAGTTCTACCGTGCTGCCCTGGGGATGCACAGGACCTGATCTGTCAGGTGCTGCTGTTGGTGATGGGCAGGACTGGTTCTCCCTAGTGCTGCATCCAGTGAGGGCTGGGCCAACTTTGCAACCCTGGGCTCACTGCTTTTGGTGGTAACAGGAGCCATGGACCTCACCCCGGACTCCCAAAGTGTATCAGGATCAAAGATCAAGTCACAGCCCTTGGCTGCAGCCCAGGCCCAGACATCATCATGTCCCTGTGTGTAACAGGGCATCTATTTCAACATGTTTCTCACCACCCTTGCCTCTTCACATCTCCCTCTCTCCCCAGAAAATGAATCATTCTGTCCCCACCTCCATTTCTCCACTCTTTATTCACTCACCATAATGATGCCTGAGTGCCCAGCACCAGAGGCAGCAGGCATGCTCCTGGGTGATTTCTTCCCATCCCAGGTCCAGAGACCTAAGGCAGAGCTGTGCTTTTGTCCTCCAGAGCCTGCCAGGCCTAGAAATACAGAGTGGTTCCTATTTCTTTCTTTTTCTTTTTAACTTTTATTGATTCTTTGTAGATCAATAATACATCATACATCCTGATCCCACTCATCTCCCAGTCCCTTCATACATACCCCTGCCCTTGCAACCTTCTCCACAAATAAAATAAAATAAAATTTGAAAGAAAGAAAGGAAGGAAGGAAGAAAGAAATCTCATCGTGGAAACTAAGTTCATATGTCCTTACTTGCAAATATTCATTGAAGTGAGTCATTGGTCTGGTTTGAGGCCTTTGGCTTCTGCTACAGTATCAATACTGGGCCCTCACTGGAATTCTTCTTAGATATCCTGTTGTTGCCCTGTGCCTTGGAGATCCTGCAGCTTTGGCTCCACAGGACTGGCCCCTTCATGTGCTTCAGCAATTCATAGATGGAGTGGGGGTTGGGGTACCCAACTCAGGCCTGGTTCTGGGCCTGGATGGTAGCTGTGTTAGTCTGCCTACCAGCTCTCCTCCCTCATCCACACCACCAGAGAGAACTCTCCAGCACTGCCCTTGCTAGCTCACCTAATGCAGCAGGCAGCAAGGGGCACAGCCTGTACACTCCCTGGCAGGCTCAATGGCATCCACACCACCAGAATCAGCTCTATGGTGCTGCCCAGGCAAGGTGCAGAGCCCACTCTCCCAAGTGCTGCAAACAGAGAAGAGCAGGTCCAGCTCTCACTCTCATGCACATAAGGCCAGTTCTTCCTCCCGATGCAGGTGACACTCGTTGAGGGAAGAGAGGGCATATTTTCCTCACCCATGCCACCACATGGCAGATGGGGGCAGCTCTCCTACTCTCATGTGTCTTGCTCACACATGCCCCCACCAACAAAGTCAGCTCTATTCTGCTGCCCAGTCGAATGTACAGGGACAAATCTACAGGTGGTAAGGGGCAGGGCCAGCTCTCCTTCCTGCCACATGTGAGAAGCGGTGAGGGTCAATAGGATTTCCTCATTTCTTATATGTTGAATTCAAAATATGGAAGTTTGCTATGAATACATGTTGAGGCATAGTTTTATAAGGACAGAAGTTTCCTGAACTATGACAATTAGTCACTTACTAGTGAATATGAACTATATATTGTTGATGCATAAATTTACATCATGTCTATAAAGAAACTTCAACTGCCTAGTCCACCACTCAAATCTCTGTATTCTGATCATTTGCATGTGAAACAATTACTAGTAGGTTTGACGCATCTGTTCTTTTGTTAATTTGTGTTTGCATTCTGTATTTATCAGTCTTATTTCTTGTCTGCCCCCACCACCCACCCAGCTTGCTTTGGAGGAATAGTTCTCAAGAGTTAAATTTTGACATGCATCTTTTCTTCATTTTGAGTATACAATTAGAGTATGTTATTAATAATCATTTCCTAGCCATCTGTTACTGAAGTCACCCTAGGTATTTCTGTGCTTGCCATCCTTTACTGATGCAGATATTTTCTATTCCAAAGAAAAAGTAGAAACTACTTACCTTGAAAATCTATTTATGGTTCCCATGTTTCACTTGAAGATTCCTTTAGTGTTTCCTGTTACATATCTGGAGCACCATTCTCAAATGCTAGGTTTCATCAAAAACTTAAACATAATTTTATGAGCAGGAAGATGATTTAATATTTTACCAGTTACTCTTCTCCTAAGTTTTAATTGTTATTTTTATTTCTGTAATGAATTCTGATACTTGTCTTTCTGGGGAACTCTGTGTTGGAGATAAATCCTCTTTACCTTCTTTTATCTGCAATGTCTCATTATTGTCTTTATTGGAAAGGCTAGCACCACAGGACATAGCATTCAAGGGTGACATTTATTTCCTTTCACTTCCTATGGCCTTCATGGAAGTAGATGGAAAGTCACTTTCTTTTGGATCTTGACCAATGTGGTTGATTATTTTATTAAGATGTTTGTCAAGATGTTTACTTTAAGCAGTTTCAATACATGTGTCTTCATGAATTTCATGGCATGTGTACTGTTTGAGTTTAGCCAGGTCTAATATATGCACATTCACACCTATGGCCAGCTTTTTCCTTTTTTCTCCACACTAATTTTTTTTTTATCTTGAACACTTTTTTTCTTCTAAACAATGTTGGAGTTCAGTTTCATGATACTCCTGTTGAGATCTTACTCAACAGAACAAAATACCAGTTCTTGATTTCAGTCTCCTCCTGTGACCATGCCAGCACAATCAGCAGTCCAGAAGGGAAACAAATATCGCACAGCATTGTGAAGTTAGTCGTGTCCTGAATCTCTTAACTAGAATTCCCAATGTATTTCCCTTTCCTATATTGTTTACTAAAAATATTATGTCCAAGAATTCCCATTGTACCTAGCAAAAGTATAACATATAGATGCCTATAACTATGTCACCCCTATAATGGATCAAGAAACCCTCATTTGTGTTCTGTAACTTTAAAAGCTTCAAATTCTTGTCCATAAATAAGTTTCTAAAAATAATAATAAAGACCAGGAATATGTAGATCAATAAATACTGGATCAGGAATATATAGAGGAATAAATACTCCAGTGTCTTGAGAACAAAGAAACACTGTTCCTCTACATTGGCATCTGTATGTTAGAAGCTATTGAGACTTTTAACAGCACTAGAAGGCTTCAGAGAAGATATGCTTTCTCCAGTTCAGGAACTGCTCTAGGTGAGAAGGATGGAAGAACTTGTAACTCTCAGTTTATATGTTCGAAATTTCTTCAAGTAAGTCGTATCTGTAGCTAGAAATCAGCAAAGACTTGTTTAGAACTGTTTTTTCACTGTTTCTCTTTAAGCCTCTAGTTTGATTTGATCTCTCAAACATCAAACATTGTGTTCTTAGATTCAACAGGGAAATGTGGGCCTCCTCCTCCTATTGACAATGGAGACATCACCTCCTTCCCTCTGTCAGTATACGCACCATTATCATCAGTTGAATATCAGTGCCAGTCCTTGTACCAACTGCAGGGCAACAAGAAAATAACATGTAGAAATGGAGAGTGGTCTGAGCCACCAAAATGTTTACGTAAGTACCTCATTCTCATAGACCATAGGAGATTTAGTTTCATGATACAGATATTTTTCTGTTAATAATAGAACATTCACAGACTAAAAGCTCTCCTTTGCTTACCAAAGCCAAATATCAGCATCTGATGAGAAAGCAAGATTTTTGATTCTTTTTTCATATAAAATATTTGACAAAATTATTAATGATCTTTTTCATTATTGAGTTTTTACTAACATGCGTTGATGTCCATACAACTTGGTGCCAGAAAGATATTACCATACCTGTTATCTCAGTCAGTGTTCTGTTGGTTTGAAAAGACACCATGACCTGGGACAGTCTTATGATAGAAAGCATTTAATTGGGAAATGCTTAAAGTTTCAGCGGTATAGTGCATCATCATCATCATCTGTGTGGGGGGGAGGGGAATGGTGGCACACAGGCAAACATGGTGGGACATAGCTGGGAGTTCCATATCTGGCTCTGAAGGCAGTAGGATGCTGTAAACATTGGGCCTGGCTTGGGCTTTTGAAATTTAAATCCTATCCCCAGAGACACACTTCTAACAGGGCTATAGGTACTCCAACAAGTCCATAGTCCCAGTCCATTTCAAGCAGCACCACTCCCTGATAAATAAGCAATTAATAAGTCTATGGAGGCTTCTTAATTAGGGTCTCTATTGCTGTGATGAAACACCATTACTAAAAACAAGCTGGAGAGAAAAGGGTTTATTTGGCTTTCACTTTCATATAGCTGCTCATGATCAAAGGAAGTCAGTAGTGTCAAGTTGACATACAAACCAGCTAGTACAGAGGCCATTCTTATTCAAATCACCACTTCAGTATACACTTTGTAGTTATTAAATCCATGGCCCTCATATAAGATATAAGATTCCCTTTTTTGGAGATAATCATCTAAATTGTATTAATCACTGTCATACATTCAAGAGTAATTTTAGTTTTTCTTTCTACTATGTGAGACCAAGGACTTGTCTTCCTGTGTTTGATTCATTTCACTTAATGTTCTCCAATGCCCTTTTGTAACTAAAATAATAAAATATATCTGTAATGCCTGAAAAATATTTCACATATAAGCATTTCACATTGTCTTTATAAATTCATCAACTGGTGGGCACACAGTTTTCCCTTCTTAGCTACTGTGACATAGCAATTGCAATAAATGTATGCATACAAGTCAAAGATAAAACTCTAATTTCAATCTTCTATGGTTAGCAATCCTGTTTTTCAAGCAACACTTGTGGATAGGCTCTTTTGCTGGACAAGTTTTTTTTTTTTTGTCTCTTGTCTCCAAAATGGTAGTCATAGTTTGTCATCTATTCCTGTCCTTTTATATACCTGTGATACCTGTGTATATTTATGCCAGTATTAGTTGGTATTTCTCTCTGTAGCTCTTCATTATAAATTGAGTTTGGATATCAGGATTCCTCCCCCAGTGTTCCAAAATATCTGAGGTTATTTGTTTTGTTTTGTTTTGAGAGAGAGTTTCTCTGTGTAGTAGTCCTGGCTGTCCTGGTGCTTACTCTCTAGTTCTGTCTGGTTTTACCTCCTGAAAGCTAAGATTAAAGGCATGAGCCATCACTGCCTAGCTCTAAAATAAAATTAAGACAATTTTTGTACCTATATTTGACGTTTGTACTGTATTTTTGTATTTTCTGTTCTAGTGGAGGAGAGGTGCACCTTTGAAGAATCTTGATGCCTTCCATTTTGTCATACTACTTGATTTTTATGCACACATTCTGGGAATTTGTATATACCATATCTATGGAGACTTTCTTAGCAAGAACTTCTCTACTGGAGATGTATCTTGAGCTACAATGAAGGAGTTATTTCCATGTAGCACTTCTGGGTTGCTTGATTGTAATTAACACCTCTGGGCACAACCTGATCCACTGTTTCTGTGAATTAGGCTTAAACTAGGACACTTTTCAGCTCAGGTAGACGGTAGACAGTACAGGGTGCAGAGTGATTGTTGTGTCAAGACTCCTACAGTGACTCATAGAAGATGATGCTGTTTTTCTCAGAAACTGTGGTTGGCACATCTCCTAATCACAAGGGTTACTCTTCTTGGAAAGCTCAGCAAAGAGATTTGGTTATGGGAATTTGGCACCCTCTCTGTAACACTTAGTCCCAGCCTTTAAAGTACTGTATAGTCAGATGTGTTGTGGAACAGGATGGCAGCACTAAATGAATTGGTTGGAGACAGTATGAACTTGGATATTATGTCCTCTTGGTTTTCTGTGTAAGTAAGGCCAGGGTTCAAGGTGCTGGTTGCAGAAGCTGCTTTCCAGACAGGTTAGTTGCTTATCCAGTGTGGTGATTTGATAGATTTATTTTTAAAACGATAAGAATCAAATTCATAACACAAAAATCACTATTCATAGTTACATCTTTGTAAGTGAATAATGAACATTATGAAGGTAGTTAAGATTTGGCTTTTTAAGTGCAGTATTTTTCAGTATACTCATGCCACAGTATACTCACTTTTTGGTATGCTCATTAGGTCTGAATATCGTATGTATGTCAAGGTTCAAATTTTTACCTTTGTACAGTATCTAAACCAATGCAAACAACCATGAATGCCCTGAAATATAAGTGTCTTATTTAATGACATTAGGAACCTTGATGTTGAAATCTAATTATCACATTAAAAATATTGTTTGACATCATTTGCTATCCAGTATGAACTAATTCTATGTGCTAGTTTAATACATGTTTTTAAAAGCTTTGAGGAATTCTGTAGATTTATGTCTTAATAAATTTCATGAATTTTTCTTTCAGATGCATGTGTCATATCAGAGGAAATTATTAAAAGACATAACATAACTTACAGATGGATAAGAGACCAAAAGCTATATTCACAATCAGGGGAATTTGTGGAATTTGCATGTAAATATGGATATGAAGCAACAGATTCATCCCCACCTTTTCGTACAAGGTGCATTGATGGTCATATCGATTATCCCAGTTGTTCAAGAAAACGTTATTGGAGTTTTGGATAAATATAATTTAGAAATGTGTATGCTTATTACTAATACTGTTTCAATGTTCATTTGAAGGATTGTTTAACTCATTTCTTTTCATTAGTATAAACATGTGATTAATTTGGAGACTGAGAGACCACTGACACAAATGCAAAGCAGTGTATGCAGTCCTTCTAAACCAGAATGTGTGCTGTCCTAGAACAATGAGCAATGGCAAGCAAATAGATGTAATTACTTCATTGTCTGTGTCTGTTGATGGGGATTTTTCTGGCCTGGCAGAGTCCTGCTGCCCTTGAGCCCCAAATAAACACACAAAGACGTATATTAATTATGAAATTGTTGGCTGATGTCTAGGACTTCTTTTTGCCTAGCTCTGTCTTAACTATTATCCCATTTCTATTTATGTGTTTCCACATGGTCTTGGCTTACCTAAGAACGCCTGACACTTCCTCTCTTCCCAGTCTCACATGGTGTCTCCTGTCTGCCTATATTTCCCAGAATTCTCCTCCTATCTTAGCCCCACCTATCTTCCTGCCTGACCAATCAGTGTTTTATTTATCAACCAATAAGAGAAACATATATACAAAAGGACAACCCATCATGTGTCTACACATCACTTTTCAAAAATCTCTCGATTCTGCCTCCATACATTTTGATCTGTTTCTGATTCTTGGTTATCAGAAAGCACATGGATTCATCTTCAAATTAGGATTATATCATAAATATGTAATAATCAAACTCATACCTTACACTGCTTATGAATATAAGTAATTGCTGCATACTACTATTGTATTTTAATTAAATTTAAAACAATCATATTTTATATACCAATCCCAGTTCCTTTTCCTTCCCATCCCCCCACTCCTCCCATCATCTCCCCATCCAATACCTCATCCACTCCTCAGATATGTTGAGGCCTCCTGTGGGGATCATCAAAGTCTGTTACATCATCTGAGGCAGGACCCATCCCGCTCCCCCTCCACCATATCTAGGCTGACCAAGGTATCCCTCTATATTGAATGGGCTCCAAAAAGCCAGTTCATGCACTGGATATAAATACTACTTCCATAGGCTTTTCAAGCCCCAATCTGACACCTACCTTCAGGGGGCCGAATTTTGTCTTATGCAGGCTCACCAACTGAAAGTCTGGAGTCAGTGAGCTCCCATTTTCTTGGGTAAGCTGTTTCTGTGTATATCCCCAACATGGTCTTGACAGATTTGCTCATCAGTCCTCCCTCTCTACACATGGACTACTGGAGTTCAGCTCAGTGCTGAGCTGTAAATCTCTGTTTCTGTTTCCATCAGCTGCTGGATGAAGGCTCTATGATGACATTTACGGTAATCATCACTCTCATTATATGGGAAAGGCATTTAAGGAGATGTTTCCATTATTGCTTTGATTCTCAATTGGGGTCATCCCTCTGATTCCTGGGAATTTTCTATTGTGTTAAATTACCAATTCGGAGTCAGGTAGAAATATAAGGGTATTTAATAGGGAAAAGTCTTACTTACAGAGCAACCCAGCAGCAGTCTGTACCGCAAGTACCAAAGTGAAACCGAAAGAGAAAACGCAGTCCCCTGAAAGTCTCACTCTATGTCACCCTGACCATGCCCTCGCAAGCGTGGTCAGGCACACCTGTAGCCAGCCCCTAAGTAGGCATGGCTACAGCTTCCCCTACAATTCCCCTTTTAGTCTAAAAGAGGATTAAAACATAACAGTGTAAAGTATCCAAAATTAACAATCATAAAGGTAAAATATAAGAAGATACAACAATCTGCTTATGTCACCTCCTATCTATTTTAACTAAATCCTAAAGTCATCTGAAAGAGGTGTCCAAGCCTGAACACCTCCTTCCAATCCCAACAATAACAATAGGAAGCTATCCCTAACTAGGTATATACACTATGCTAAGTGACAACAATGAGGAAAGGGGGCGTAGCATCCTCCAAGTTACTTCTTGCTGAAATGGGAAGACGATAGTCATGTGGGGTCCTGTAGGAAGAAAATGTTAGTGTAGTAAAAGTATTGAATGGATTGTATCCAGTCCATGTTAGAGGGGATTCTCTTGATAGAAGATATCACTTGAAATCCTCAAGTTGATTGAAGTCATTAGCCGAAACTTTGGCCAGAGGGTCGATTGAAATGGAGCAAGTTGGATCCAGTGCAGTCGAGGAGGTGTGGCCCATTTTTTTTCCATGTCCAGGGATTGCTGTCAGGCAGGTCTTTATTGGCTGCGTGGGACACAAACATAAACAGTTAGAAGAGAAATGTTTGCTTGTGTATGTACACATGCCGAGGAATGCAACCATGAGAGCATAACAATTATGAGAGGATGTACACCTTGAAAGAAAGATCCAAGAAAAGACAAAGACAGTCCCCAAATTCTTCTTTTATTCTGTATTACATCAATTGGCTTCTTGATACAATACAGAAACACTAAAGTTTAGTTAAATAACGTGCTTGGATTTTAGAGGAGGAAAGCCTAATCCACCTCTAAATCCAGCATTGGTTTAATTGAATAGGGACTAGGAAATGAAGAGAAATAGAGTTCTCTGAGAGACAGCTGTAAAGTTTACCGTATGGCACGTTCCTTTTGTTTGATGGTTATAGCTACCTTTTCTTCTTAAGGATCTACCCATGCAGTGTCCTTTGCCTTCTGGAGATGAGTTTTCCTGTGAAGATAAAAGCAATCGACCATATGGACCTATGTAATCTGTCAGCCCTGTAGTGTAAATTATCTTCCAAACATTCAAGACTAGACTCAAATTTGTGATCTGTTACCTTGGATGCTTCAATAATTGATTGAATGGCATTGTCCAATTCTTCAACCCTATCCTGGGTATCTTTCACCTTTGCATCTAGTTTCTGGATAACATTGTCTATCTGAGTTTCTAGCTGGCTACAGATATTCTTTAGGTTATCATGGTCTTCTGACAGCCTAGCCTCTAAGGCCTCAGTCATGGCATAAATACGCTGCATCTCATCTTGGGTGACAGACAGCTCTGTCTTTAGTGTATTGGACACAGAGCCACGCTTGTCATCCAATTTCTGCTCCACTTGCTGCACAATTGTGGTCTGACCTAATCTGTTCTCCAAAACCTCATTTCGTAAAGCTGTTATTTCCTGCAAGCAGGTGGTGAGGTTATCTCTGGCCCTGTTCCTGAGCCCTCTGGCTGATAGTATTATTTGTACCAGCAAGCTAATTGCCATTACGGCATATAGGCCAGTAATTGGCAAATTAGCATCCTCCTCAAACAGTGAATTCACGTAATAAGCAAAAATATGACCAATTCTAACAAATGATAAATATTCCACCATAATTTTACCTGATTTCTACTCCAGATGCAGTAACTATCGTTGACCAGTGGGTGGCATAGGTGTTCAGTTAGTCCGCGGCATTTGGCAGTGGTGGTTGGCAGCTGTGGAAAGAGGTCACAAAAGCGGCTGCACTTATCTTAGAGAGTATACAGCCTTGCGGCTGTAACCACTGAATGAGGCATGGCTTTAAGGCTACTGCTGAAAGCCAAGACCTACTCCAAGTCGGTTCAAGAGCTGGAGTCCTCCGGGTACGGGTAGGCAGCAGTCCAAGCTGGTCCGGAGCGCACAGTGGTAAAACCGTAGGAGGTCTGTGTGAGTCTCCAAGGTGGGAGCAACTTAGCAGCAGCGGGTCGGCTGGGAGCTGGGAACCCCTGTGAAGAGAAGGACCTTTCCTCACCTGGGCCTCAAGACTGGTGGGTCCCATAGCCTATCCCAAATGAGGTATAGGTTTCCAATATCCTGCTCCTGACAACCAGATATAGTGGGAAATTACCAATACGGAGTCAGGTAGAAATATAAGGGTATTTAATAGGGAAAGCCTTACTTATAGAGCAACCTAGCCAGCCGGCATGGCAGCAGTCTGTCCAGCAAGTACAAAAATGAAACCAAAAGAGAAAACGCGGTCTCCTGAAAGTCTCACTCTATGTCACCCTGACCACACCCTCGCAAGTTTGGTCAGCCAGCCCCTAAGTAGGGGTGGCTACAGCTTCCCCTACAATTTTCCTTGTGCCAGGTTTCTTGTGAACCCCAAATTGGCTCCCTCTATGAAGGTATCTATTTCTTTCTTTGTTCTTTCCCCAACTCAACCTTCCTGATCCCTCATGTTCTCCCCACACACCTTCTCCCCTCCTTTCTCTCCTCCCTCCTTCCTGCCTCCCCCCAAGCTCCCAAGTTACTCAGGAGATCTTGTCTCTTCCTCCTTGTCAGGGGTCCATATATGTCTCTCTTAGGATCCTCATTGCTTCCTATATTCTTTGGGTTGTGGCTTGTATGCTGGTTACCTGTTGCTCTATGTCTAATATCCACTTGTAAGTGAGTACATACCTTGTGTCTGGGTGACCTCACTCATGGATGGACTCTAGTTCCATCCATTTGGCTGTGAACTTCAAGATGCCATTATTTTTTACCCTTGAGTAGTACTCTATTGTGCATATTTCCAAATTTTCTTTATCCATTCATCAGTTGAAGGGTATCTGGATTGTTCCAGATCCTGGCTACTAAAAATAATGATGTTATCAACATAGTTGAACAGATATCCTTGTGGTATGAGTGTTCATCATTGGCATTTATGTCCAAGAGTGGAATTGCTGTGTCTTGAGGAAGACTGATTCCCATTTTCCTGAGAAACCACCATATTGATTTCCAAAGTGGTTGCACATGTTTGCCTTCTCACCAGCAATGGAGGATTGTTCCCCTTACTCACCATCCTCTCTAGCATAAGCTTTCATTAATGTATTTGATCTTAGCCATTCTGACAGGTGGAAGATGGTATCTCAAAGTTGTTTTGATTTGCATTTTCATGATGGCTATGGATGCTGAGCAATTTCTTAAGTGCCCTTTGGACATTAGAGATTCATTTGCTGAAAATTCTCTCTTTAGATTTGTGCCCCCATTTTATAATTGAATTATTTGGTGTTTTGGTGGCTAGTTTCTTGAGTTCTTTGTGCATTTTGGATATCAGCCATTTGTCAGATGTAGGGTTGGTGAAGATCTTTTCTCATTCGGTAGACTGCCATTTTGTCTTGTTGACTGTGTCCTTTGTCTTCCAGATGCTTCTCAATTTCAGGAGGTCCCATTTATTAATTGTCGACCTCAGTGTGTATGCTCCTCTTGTTATGTTCAGGAAGTGGTCTCCTGTGACAGTACATTCAAGGGTATTTCCCACTTTCTCTTTTAAGAGTTACAGTGTGGCTGGATTGATGTTGAGGTCTTTGATCCATTTAGACTAAGTTTTGCGCATGCTAATAGATATGGATGTATCTGCAGTCTTCTTCATGTCAGCATCCAGTTATGCTAG